TTTCAAATCACGCCTAAAGATCTTCGTTTTGATCATGCTTATGGTCACCTCCCTCCTCCCCCAGGCTCGGGGGTCAGACTCTGCCACTGTCAAACACTCCGGGACGCCAACCCTGCGTGAAGGGCGCTATATAAATGTTATATTGTCGTTGAAGCACTGGGCATGGGATGGGGGAGCACTGGGCGTGGGACGGGGGAGCACTGGGCGTGGGACGGGGGAGCACTGGGTGTGTGATGGTGTAATGTGGAGTCCTGTAGCTCAGTGGTTAGTGCACTCGCTTTGCAAGCGAGACACCTGAGTTCAATTCCAGGCAGAGGGCGAAACCTTGGGCAAGTTTCCTTACTCCACACAGAGCCTAATAATAATCCCTCCAAAAACCGAAAACAATAATAAATTGGTCATTTTCAATCTACGACTGTTTGCGGGACATTGCTGTGCGCAATTGGCTGCCGCGTTCGCCCACAAATATACAGTCAATTCACTTTACAGTGTGTTCTGTGAAGCGCTTTGGGACGTCCTCCCGACGTGAAAAACGCTATATCAAATGCAAGGATTATTATTATTATTATTCTAATGCACAGTGGCTGATGGCTGCAATCACGTGAGCACAAGCAGCTGCCCACCAACGTCCTTCAGGCACTGAAATAACAGTAAAACGCGGAGCCCCGCACCTCCACTCAGCTCCCGCCCCTCCCGCAACACCCCCTCAGCTCCCCCCCCACCCCCCCCCCCCCCCCGCACCGCCCCCTCAGCTCCCCCCCTCCCGCAACACCCCCTCAGTTCCCCCCCCCCACCCCGCACCTCCACTCAGCTCCCCCCCACCCCCACTCAGCTCCCCCCCCCCCGCACCGCCCCCCTCAACTCCCCCCCCCACTCCGCCCCCCCACCCCGCACCTCCCCCCCACCCCGCACCTCCCCCACCCCCCGCACCGCCCCCTCAGCCCCCCCCCCCCCGCACCCCCCCCCCCCCCGCAGCTCCCGCCCACAGTCAAGTGTCACTTTCCAAAAACATAAAAGAGTATCGGGCGCCGCTCGGCCCTGTCCGGCCCCAGGAACCAACCACCGCCGCTCACCGCTCGGGAGGGAATGAAACAGTCGGAACACCAACAGACGCGATGGATCGGCCGCTCGGGGAGCACAAGAGGCCGTTACTGACGGGGAGAGAGAGGGAGAGGGCGGGGGGTGGGCTGAGGGCAAAGGCCGGGCTCGGCTGCGCCTTTACCTGAGGGTCGGGCCCACACAGGCCGCGTCGGTGCTTTCGATCTCCTGTAGGATCCTCTCGTGCTCGGTCACCGTGTCCAGGCTCGGCGGGTCTGCCATCTTGTCGCCGGCTCAGGCCCCCGGGGGTGGGGGGGGGGGGGCACGTCAGCGGTGGCGATGGCGGCGGCAGTGACGAGGGCGGCGGCCTGACACCGACCGACTCATTCCGTCCTCCTCCCTCCCTCCCTCCCTCCAGCCCCCCCTCGGCTCTGGGTGAAAGCGGAAACCCCTACAGCGGGGGGTGGGTGGGGTGGGGGGGACCGTCACTCAGCGCTGCCCTTTTGTTAATGACGGTTTTTTTTAAAAAAATGGCGGGTGGGGGTGGGAGGGGAATAAGAAGCTCCGCGGTTCGGTTCCTTCCCACTTTAATTCCTCTCTCACCGCCGTCCGTCGGTCTGTCAGTCAGTCAGTCAGTCACTTCCCTGCGCGGGCAGCGCGTCCCCGACAGCCGCCCAACCAACCCGCCCAACCCGCCCGCCCGCCCGCGCGCTCCCGCAGAGCAAAGCCAATTCGGGGCGATTCCCCGCCCCCACCGCCGGCAAAACAACAGGGGGTCCAAATGAAAAAAAAAATCAGAGCTGCTTCATCTATACTGTACTGTCCCGTTAACCCCCTCAACAGGACCCGACCTCCCCGTTACCATTGCTCCTCCCGCACACACACACACACACACACACCTGTTGTTGTTGGCTCAGAGCCTGATGTCACTCTCGCACACACTGCAGCAGCATTTTCAGTCGTCGCGTTGCACCGCCACTCCCCCACCATGTGCAGCAGGTGGGATAATATCATCATCATCATCATCCTCCTCATCCTCCTCCTTGCTATAAGGTCTTCGAGTACGCCTGGAAGTGATACGCGGCGTATCGCTTACCGTCCAGCGCCACTGACTATATTTTGTGGGCGGAAGGCGGCAGCCAAGTCGCGCGCGGCAGCGTCCCCACCAGCAGTCGTTGGATTGGGTTGAATGGCCAAGTTATTATTATTATTTTTTGAAGGAATTATTACCCCCGGCAAAGCCATCTGCTGATCAACTAACAACCGGGTGCCTACTTACTGCCAGGCAAATGGAGGTGGTGTTGACGAAGGAAAACCTGCCCAACACTTTGCCCTGCTCGGAATTGAACCCGTGCATGGAATTGTCAGTTTGGGGTTTGGATACTCCTAAACACGGTGGTGGGTTTCTGCAGGTGTCAAGACCCCCCCCCCCCACACACACACACAAAGACATTTCAGACATTGGATTGGGCTCCTATTCAGTCTCTAAAATGTACCGTTATTTGTTAAGAGGAGAAAGTGTTTCACAGGATTTTACTGTAAAGGGTAGTGACTATTTTGTAGGTGAACACAGACAATTTGTGCACATCAATGTTCCACAAACAGCCACAAATGGCCATTTAAAAAGGCAATTGGCTTATTGACCAGGACACCAGACAAAACTCTTCAAAATGTGCCAAGAGATTTTTTTAAAAAAACATTGGGACCTTAGTTTTTAATTTTTTTTATTGGTGAGCGAGATTAGACCTGCTCCCACCCCCATTAACTGAATTAGACCGAAACGTTCCACCTTAGAACGAGGGTTATGTCCTCGCAGACAAACCCTAATCCTCAAACCCTTCTGTTTGTCAGGACCTTAGTTTAATGCCTCATCCAAAGGAGGTGAGAGTGCTCCTAAATGAGCCAGGCTAACTATTGAGTGGTAATGTTATTTTTTTGATACGGTTATTATTTCAGTAAATGTTATTGTTATTTCAAGTCTTGTGCAATCTAAGGATATAAACAAGCTGGACTCCCATACCTTATTCACAGTTGCCATGGGGTTGTTGTGTCAAATTTAGGAAAGAAAAAATTGTTTAGCATCAACAAGTTTATGTGTTTACCTTAGGGCTGCTACTGACAGGTATTGTTTTGCTCCAAGGAAAAAGGTGCTCGAGCTACCTCCAGACACAGACTCAAAAGGCGAGATTCTCTGTACCTCAAGAGAAAGATGTAACAAGCAACCAAGTATATCCACTTCCTCCAGCTTGCACAATGGTGACCTAACACTATAATTTAATGTCTTATTTCCCAATGCACCATAACACACATGCAGGTCAAGATAATAATAATCCCTCAAGAAAAAAAAATAATATGTAAATTGGTCACGTCAATCCACGACTGTGGGGCACTGCTGTGCGCAATTGGCTGCTGCATTTCGTCCACAAATATAAAGTCAATTCACTTTACAGTATATTCTGTGAAGCACTTTGAGACATCTAGATGATGTGAAAAGTGCGAGACTAAATCCAAGGATTATTAAAATACTCTCATGTCTACAAATCCTTTCACACCCTGGCACCTTACCTTTCCAACCTGCTTTCTCCCCACTCTACTACCTGCTGCCTCCGCTCGGCTGGCTCTGGGCTCCTGCTCATCCCCTCCGCTCCCCCATCAGCAGCCATGCTTTCAGCTTCAACGCCCCCAAGCTTTGGAAATCTCTTTCTCAATCCCTCCACCTTGCCCCCTCCTTCCCCTCTTTGTAGACTTTCCTCTTCGACCATGCTTACAGTCACCTCCACCTTTCTCCCCCAGCTCTGCATTAGGCTCCTCTATAGTTAAGCACTGCGAGATACTACCCCGAGTGAAGGGCGCTATATAAATGCAAGTTGTTGATGTCAGTCAGCATGCCATTTTGTACATTTTGTTGGCTAAAACAGAATTTCACCAGTATATACTCAGTATATACTGAGATTTGAGAAACATTCATGGGCTACTAAATTAAATCAATACACATTAGTTAATATATAACTAGTGGCTATACTAGTATATTCTGACAGCTTTATAAATTAATTAAGATGAACAATAAATGACCATATACAGACACAAAAATGAGCTTTGGTCTAACATTACAGCTTCAAAAACTGCAATCTCAATTAACATCCATAGAAATGTCACTACCCTGCATGAAGGGCTCTATATAAATGCAAGCTGCTGTTGAAGTGTGATTGTGTTGTGAGCAGTTTTATGTGTAAATGTGTGCAGTACAGTTACTCATCAAGCCAAGTCTGTTTGGTTAATATATATGTTAAATGCCTTAAATGTTGCTGCTGCATACATTCATTCAGATGCTTACATTGGTCGGGGTTTTTTTTTACGTTCACATTATTCAGCTTTTATTAACAAAACTGCCAGCAATCAAAGAACCAGACTGAAAGTGGTCAAACAAATTCTAACAGACCAGTCAATGAGCTTCGAGCATTAACACAAAACATACTCTTGAGAATGAAAAGGCTTCTGTGCACCAGGACACACAGTGATCACCAACTCGGAAAAGCTCTTGAGGCTGGCAACCCCACACGATAGCAGTTAAACTTTTCTACCATTAGTTAGTCAAACACGTTTACATTGAATATCTCTTTAAAAACAATTTACGGTACATTGAGACTGGAATGTTTGTTGCAATCTTGAGAAGAGTATTTAAAATATATAAAGCGTTTTCTGTTTAACTCACAATTGTAAGCCAATTAAGGGATTATGCAACACAACTCTGGTGACTGCTGAAGTTGGACAGTTCTCAAAGCATTGTAAATACAACTGTTGCAGTGTATGGTTCGAGATAGCACTCACAAATACGAAATATAAATATCGTGTCAATTAAAACCACCACCACCACCACCACGTCGTGACCCAATCAGAAGAAAACGTTAGTAATTTATGTAACAGCACACATACCAATCTCTCCAAGTAGGGATTAGACTTACGATAAACTTGAACCAAGAGGCAATTCCAGCGATTCAATCTCAGCAAAAACATTTTCATAAATTTGACTTTCTCGATTTTCCTCCCCAGAAACGGGCAAAGGAACCGACTTGATTGCCTGGGCCATCATCTTAACACTCCCAGATTTTACAAAGGGCAGAACCTTCTTACTCAGCGTTACTGCTCAGCAGCAGAAAGGACAACAACAAAGCCAACTCGAGCGTTCACCCCGTGATCTCAGAGACCTTTAGTGCAAACCTCATCTTTCAACTCAGAAAATGTTGAGATGGATAACACCATTTCCATTTTCGATCAGATTAGGCTTAGATCTGCAGCTACAGGTTTGCCTGTGGGGTGTGGAAAGTGTGACTGACAACATGTCCCGTTTATTTATAGCACTGTGGTTATTTAAAACACAGCTCAAATAGTATTACACTGGACATCTGACTCACTCCTCACACTCCCTAATAATGGCCACAAGTTTGTTGGGAAGAAAAAAAAGCCAATCCTATATTAATCGTTTTATGGAACAGTAAACTGATTAATGAAGTGCATTACCAAATCTCTGATGTCTTGGCAATTATCCACTATAACAGACAATTCCAGAAGTCGATGTATCCCGGCAGTTGCTTTGTTGAACCAGACAATTAACCACAGGTTTCAAAACTTTTGGAGACATCCTGCTAGTTGTCGCTCAAGGAACGCACGCGATTTCACGAACACGTTGCCCGGCAAATTCTTGTGGGCATATTTTGATCGGTATGCCAAAGGAGTGAAAGACTAAAGTCAGCAGTTTAATGCCAAGATGTGAAACGTGTATGCACAATTTACCCCTGATAATTTGTCATAATGCCAGTGTTGATATCAGTTGAGATTAATTTAGCCACTGTGTCCTTCCCCACAAATGTTATGTAATTTATCAGCAGCCTCACTTCCCCAGTCATCACATCCCCTGCATGAAAGTTGAGAGGTCGCATCCTCTTTTGTCTTCGCTAATAATAAAAGGAAGAGATCATGTTTTCATTTACCACGACTAAACCATGGTTTAAGTAGGCCTTGTCAGATTTATTTTTTCCCACAACAAATCTTGTGAGATTCTCCAAAACCAGCCAACTTCAGAAAATACATAGAATGTTAGAATGCAATTGCTAACCCTTGGTGAACTTAGTAGAACATATTAGTATTGATTGCAAAATCTGAAAAGAAACAATTATATTTTAAAATAAATCATCAAATTACTGCTTAAGATATTTTATGTTTTAAAACACTAAAGAATTCATTAGTAATGTTTAATATATTATCGCTTTGTTGTAATGAAACTTTAACATTCATTTGAGAGTAATTTTAATGTGATTAAAGACTTTTTCCAAAAAGATTTAAAAGGGCAATTAATATGTTAACACCAATGGCTCAAATGATGGTGATTATTATTGGGTATGCATTTAATTCATTTTAGCTAGATAGCAATTACCAAATCATAACATTAGATCCGCCCACAAAATACACACTCAATCCACTTTACAATATATTCTGTGAAGCGCTTTGAGAAGTCTCAATGACATAATAAGGCGCCATATCAAATGCAAGGATTATTATTATTATTATTATGATAACATTAGGTTTACCTGGACTTTTTCAGTTGACTGTTTAACCAGCAGTGCCAGGCAATTCCAATACCAATGTGCATTTATTCTGAAATGACAAAGTAGTTATTAAATAAAACTATGACCTACATTTTAGGAACATTTTCACATCATCAATCCAAAATAATCAGTTCAATCCATAAGCTGCATTATTGTAGGGAAGAGGATAGTTTATTAGCTAAGTGAAGAAAATAAAATTATACAACTAACGTACGAATTTGAAATCAATATATGGTTTTATTTAGTGAACTATAATAACTTAATATCCCCTTAAGTGTTCTATCAGTGCTCCCAAAAGCGAAACTCATTAATATTTTTTGAAAAGATTCTATCAGGGCTTCAGTTCATTTGGACTTTCTTTCATGAACAATGATGAATGAAAAGTAGTTTTGATTTAAAAAATGGTGTTTTGTCCTTTGCAATTTTCGACAGCTGCCATGTTTGCTTTGTGTTTATTTGGCCAACCTGATTTATACAAAGTGCATTCCACTGTGGCACATGTCGTGAAACCTCATACAGGAATTATCAGAAGGTAACAGTATTAACAATGGCTATGTAAAGGAAGCACTCTGCATGTCGTGACTGTTCTTTAAAATGACAGAATGCAATTATATCCGTCAGTAGCATTGTTAAGTTATTTTGCTGATAAAGGTTGTAGAATTTTGCTGACCTTTTCCCTAGCCTACACTTATCTGCGGATACACTCAGTCATAAAGTAGAAAACAACTTGAAGGGTATCCGTTAACAGAAGCACGTTAGGTGAACTCTCTCACCTCCACAAGTCCCATTTTCCAACACCAAAATTTGAGCTTTTTGTGTTGCACTTATTGCCAAACATTTTTAAACAAATTATTCCATGCTCCAATGTATGCCATTTGTTCAATGAATACTGTATATAAAAGCAGGACCAAATTGATCCATTGAATTAAAGGGCATCACATAGAGCAGAATATTTCAGAAGTTTTAAACTTTTTGGAAGAATATGAGGCACCACACTATAGGGTTCAAAACTGGACCTGAAAATGAAATCATAGTCTAGTGCCTCTATAGAGGAGATAATGTAGGACTGATTAAATGTAAGTAACATAATGAAAAAATAATTGTTTTTCCTACAATACAACGCTACCTAGAGTTGACTGCATTACACTTCATATTTTAATTAAACATACAGGTTAACACAAAATATAATATATTTTTGCAGGTATCCAAAATGAAGCAACATACTTATTTCTGTAGCAATAGATGCAAAAGTAACAGTGAGAGAAATTATTTCAAAGAATTGTGAATCTGGTTATTCAAATTTAGAATTATGAGTTTCAGGAATACTACATATAGTTCTGTGGAACCTTCCTTTAAAAGATGTAATTTACTTGAAGATGATTCATAGAAGAGCAAGGATGATTTCATGGCTGGTTTGCTTGGGACGTTGCAGTTATTATTTTGGATGTCCTAGCAGGTATCATTGTACTTCGTAAGATTCAGTATTGGCCAATACATATTTGAGAGACCTGAGTATTTCTCTATACAGAATCTCCTTACCCTGAACTTAGTCTTCTTGTTTGTTGCAAAGGTGTGTTGTTTTGGCTCAGAAGGCATTTATTTTATACTCTTGTTTGTTGATGATAACAGCACGGCCCTGTTTAAATAGGCCAAGCAGATTATTAAATTATTTGGAATGTGCATCAGAAATTGTGACTGCATGAAAGAACTTTTTAAAAAGTTTTAACTTTTTTTTAAAAAATACTTGGAAGAGTTACATGGACAAGTGGTCACCATCAGCAGAAAACCAATACAATCTCCGTCTGAAGCAATGTGCTGACTGTCTTAACTTTCTGCTGATTCATCAGAGAGGAAGTCAACTAAGATGAGTGATTCAATGTGGGTGGAACAGGCAATAGTTTAAGATTAAATGGCCCTCAATTGCTGCATTGTTCATAGTGGTTGACGGTGGCTATTTTCCTGTTTTGAGGAAGTTGTAATCTTCTCTCAACCGCTTCAATTGCCAGAAATAATTAGTGAGTGAAATAATAATGTTATTTTCTGCAATAGAACTATATAACCTTTGAAAGCTTACATTGTCCAAATGCAGATTGAATATAATATTAATAATACTTGGATTTGATATAGCACCTTTCACAGGGAGAGCGTCTCAAAACGCTTCACAGGATTTACTCTAAAATAATAATAATAATAATCCTTGCAGTTGATATAGCGCTTTTCACGTCTTCTAGACGTCCCAAAGCGCTTCACAGAATATACTGTAAAGTGAATTGACTGTATATTTGTGGGCGAACGCGGCAGCCAATTGCGCACAGCAGTGTCCCACAAACAGTCGTAGATTGAAAATGACCAATTTATTATTGTTTTTTGTTTTGGAGGGATTATTATCAGGCTCTGTGTGGAGTAAGGAAACTTGCCCAAGGTTTCGCCCTGTCTGGAATTGAACTCAGGTCTCTCGCTTGCAAAGTGAGTGCTCTAACCACTGAGCTACAGGACTCCACCAAATCCAGATCTTCTCGCTTGTGAGGCAAGTGAGACAAACCACTAAGCTACAGGACTCCAGAGTTTTTTCAGCTCTGCATTTTATTATTTTAAACAAAAGACTAGAAAATAAATAGCACTGTTAAAAATAGTTCATAGTGTTTATTTTCCATCTCTATTAGGTTTTTACAGGCAAGCTGGACAGTCAGTTTATGTACAGCAGGGTCTCACAATGTGGTAAATGACCAATTTTGTCTGGGGGATTGTTGGCCAGGACACCAGGAAAAACTGTTCTCTTTTTAAGAAGCAACATAGGATCTTTAATGTTCACCTGAACAGGCAAACTATACCTTGCTTTATCATCTCATCCAAAGGACAGAGTGCAAGAATGGGCGAAGATAACTCTCCCTGCTTCACTGCAAGGAACGGTCTGACCCTTACTTACACAGAGGTATATCTGAGATTCGGCAGTCAGTAAGTGGGGAATTGAAACACAAAGCCAATATTTTTCAGTGTCCGTATTTTGGAGCTTTGGTGCACAGTACGACAGGCAGGAGCACTTTACCAATGTTCATAGGGCATGCAAATGTTGATCACAAAGTCAGGGCCAGATATAAAGGTAGAAATGACTTGAGTCGAAGCTGTTTTTTCCCTATTGAAGAAATTGCCATCTCTGGGTTGAAAATTGCTAAAATCCATAATATTGAATGTGAGAATTATATTGAATCTGATATGAAATATTTATCACATTTGTCATCCCACTGTATATATTAATAAGTTATCATGGCCACAAGAATGCAGTACAAGCTTGCAGGATACAGATCAGCAAGGAGGTCAATGAACTTTAATACTACATTCTTACTGCCCAAAATGAAGCACTTGAAACAATGCAAAGAAAATATTTATTGGTAAGATCTTAGCAAACCTGCTAAGTATTTAATTAAAGGGAACCCACTGACAACCTTCCTCTTTAATTAAATCTCTGCATTCTGATCACATTTGATCATTTGTGAAGAATTTTGTGTTGGATGAGAGCTATATGTCTCCATTTCCTTATTCTCTGCTAAGCTTTGCTTCTGGTTTGATCCAGATATTCTTTCAACTGCAGAGGGCAGTATGTTCCAATTCTGGTTTACCAGTTAATATCTTGGAAAATGAAATGGTTCAATCATTGTCCCCTGCATCAAATTCACCCCAAAGGTGGGATATTTCTTCTTTGTTTTGCTACCTTCAAATGTGTCACCACCTGATAGATCCATAGATTTTTAGTGCATTTATTTAACATTACTAGACAGAGTATGGAAGAATATGGCATTATCAAAGATGCTGTCTTTTGGATAAGACATTAAACCAAAATCTTCAGGTCGATTTTAAAGATCTCATGATCCTATACTTGCCTAACAAACATGTGCTATAACACATTTCCTTATTTCAATTTATACCCATCCATATAGATTTCATTTATCAAGTTCTTTTTCAATGATTTAATCTCTACAGTGCCAGCTGCTTTTTCAGGAAATGTGTCCAATATATTCACCACTTTGTCATGTTGTGAACTGACTGAAGCAGGAAGCGTTCCTAAGTGAATGGTTCCCATTTCTACAGTATTGTGAGCAAAAAAAAAACCACTAGATGAACTCCACCACATGTAAATTGCATATTATATATGTGGTTTGACGTTTATGCCTGCTCTTCATAATGTGGGATGTCACTTTCCCAGCTTAACATTTGTAAACTAAAATGTGGGTGGTTGGACTGCATGTGAATTTATAATATTTCTAGTAATAATATTAATAGTTCCTATCCAATGTATTGCACCAAGCTCACTGTGAAAACTGTTTTAATAATAATAATCCTTGCATTTGATATAGCGCCTTATCACGTCTTCAAGGTGTCACAAAATGCGTCACAGAATATAAATAATAATGATCCTTGCTTTTGACATAGCCCTTTATCACATCTTTGA